TCTTTTTGAGACAGGGTCTCCCTGCAGCCCCAGCTGTCCTGGAACTCACTATGTAGACCAGACTGGCCTTGAACTCACAGAGATCCACCTGCCTCTGCCTCCCAAGTGCTGGGATTAAAGGCGTGTGCCACCACGCCCGGCATAAGATAGTATTTTTTAAGTCCCACGGTCCTTAAAAAAATTCAAATGCTTAAAAGTCCATAGTCTCTTTTAAAAAGTTTCTTAACCATGGGCTCCTGTAAAATCCAAAACAAGGCCTGTCTTATTTCAAAAGGGAAGAATTGGGCATACATAAGCAAAACCTAAGTCCAGCAAAGTAGCTCAAGGCTGGATATGTGGGATTCACTCACCATCTTCTGGGCTCCAAAGGATTTTGGCAGTTCCACTTCTCTGCCTCTGCCATCCACAGTACACACAGCTTATCTTGCAGACCCAGGCCTGCTTTGTTCCATACCTGCGGCTGTCTTTAGTGGTTGTCCCATGGTCCTGGCATCTCCAAAAAGCTGGAGTCTCTACTGAAACTGAGGCTGCACCTTCACCAATGGCCTCTTTAGGCTTTTTGGGGTACAAAACCTCAGATTCTCTCCATGACCCCTTCAATACTGGGGTCTTTTTTTAAATTTGTTGGTGCGTGCGTGCGTGCGTGCGTGTGTGTGTGTGTGTGTGTATGTGTGTGTATCACACAGAACATCCCAAACCATCTTATTCAGGGTGCCAAGCCTCAGCTGTTCTCTGTGACCCTTTCATGCTTTCAACACCAGAACCATGAAGAAGACTCTTACATATTACCAAGTCCTGCTTCCAACTTGAGATGGAGACTTGGGGCCCCCTCTAGACCATAGCTTCTGTGCTGACCCTGATACTTCCCAGTAGACTTTGCCACAGTGATGCTGGTCTCTTGTTACTTTATAGCTGATTTTTCAGTCCCAGCTAACCAGCATCAGTTGTCCCAGTAAAGTAAAGGTTCAGTGGTTCTGGTCTCTTCTTAATCACAGCTGTTTCTTCATTCCCAGCTGTCCAGAAACCACAGATTCTCAATTCAAAATATTCCACAAACAGCCCTGATAGGCTCTGCTTCCTTTTGAACCTTCATAAGCCAAGCCTCCATTGTCTACAACTCTTTTAACTCCACAGCAACAAACTCTAAGCACTCAATGGCTTTTCTAGCCCAAAGTTCAAGACACTTCCACAATACTAAAAACACAAGGTCGGGTCTGTCACAGCAATATCCCTCTCCTGGTACCAGTTTCTGTTGTAGTTTGTTTCTTCATTACTGTGACAAAAAACTCTGACCAATACCAACTTGGGGAGGGAAAGGTTTATTTGTCTTACATCTCTTGGGTCATAGTTCATCAGGGAGCCCACAGTCAGAACTCAGGGCAGGAGCCTAGAGGCAGGAGCTGAAGCACAGGCCATGGAGGAATGCTTCTTACTGACTTGCTCCTTGCCCCTGTTCACCCTACTTTTTTATACAACATAGGCCCACCTGCCCAGGGGTGGCATCACCCACAGTGGGTTGGGTCCTCCTACATCACTCAGTAATCAAGAAGATGCCCCACAGACATGGCCACAGACCAGTCCAATGGAAGCAATTCACCAATTGAGGCTCCCTCTACACAGGTGTGTCGAGTTGACAGCTAAAGCTATCCAGCACACTCTTTTTGTTTATTTCTTAAAATTTGGGGACACTTAAGTATATTTATTATTCAAAAATTAAAAGATTTTTGTTGATAATGAAAGAAACTCCTTTTGGGTGAAGTAAACTTGTAAAAGAGAACTGAAGAATTGCTGTTAACTAGCAGGTCACATCCATAGAATTTCATGTGACTAATAAAATTTGTTTCTTGTAGGTTTATGGTCAAGGTTTAAAAAGAAGTTATTTAAGCTCATAAGGAAGATGCCATTTATTGGACGCATGGTAGGTGCAGTCTGTATGGGTCTTTCCCTCTCCCCTACCCCTTGGTGAACATACCTCTTCTTTCTGTTCCCTAAACCCAGTATTCTCAAGGAGAGGTGATTTTGTTCCCCGCCCTCATGTGACATTTGGTAGTGTTTGGCACCCACTTTGGTTGAGACAGCTCTGATGGCAGCTTCTTGGCATAGAGTGGGTAGAGGCCAGGCTGCGGGTCAAATACTCTGCAATGCTCAGGACAGCCTCACAGCAGATTTATCTGACTCAAGATGTCAGAAGGGCCAAGTTTGAGAAACCGCAACTTATACTTTTCCAGCATATTAGCCAAAAGAGAAATGAAGTCTATTAAGGAAGAGCTTGAAATTAGAAAACCCTACTGAAGTGTTTTTGTGCTTTAGAACAATGGCAGGACTGAATTTAAATACTTACCTAGGGATTAAATCAGGTTGGCAACCTTCTGGGATGAGCCATATAGGGAATATTTTAGACTGTGGGTCCTAGCAAGAAGACAGGCAAGGAATGCCTGTATTCTATGCAAACTGTATTCACAAAAATGGAAGCTTTGGACCCTGGCTATAGTTATCTGATCCCAGACTTGGAAACATAAAGATATAACAGAGCTGTGTTCTTGCTCTGTCCTTCTTTACAGTAGAGTTGCTCTCCTCACTGTGTTCTCTCTGCCCTCACTCACTTTGGGATGAGATACTCCTATCTTTGTCTTCAGGGTGGGGCTCTTATCATAGGGAGGGTAAGCAGGACAGTCTCCTTGCTAAGGTGTGAGAAGGGCTGGTGAATCCTGAGTGTCTTCATCCCTGGTTCCCATTCCTCCTCTTCCCCTTCCCTCTGATCTTTTCTAGCTTTACCTACACTCAACTTTCCTTTTCCTTCTGACTTTCAGTCTCTGGGGATGGGGAGTCTGTGAAAGACAGACTGTGTCACAAAGGACAAGAAGATACCCCTTTAGTGGTCCCTGTGGTTTTTTTTTTTTGTTGTTGTTCTTAGCCATTTCTTTCTCTTTCACTTACAAGATGAATTTAAAAAGTATTTATTTATGTATTCATTATTTTTGTAGTTCTTGATCAAAAAATGCAAGCCAAGCAGTCTACCACTGAGGCACATTCCCAGAGAAACATTCCTCTTTTTTTAAAAAAAATTTTTTTATTACTAGTGGTGGTAGTGGTGGTACTGGGGATTGAACCTGGGGCCTCATACATGCTAGGCAGGTACCCTGCTACTGCTATATCCCCAGTGAAACACTCCTTTTGTTGTTGTTGCTGCTGAGGTTTGGTGGTGGTGGTGGTAGTGGTGGTAGTGGTACTGGTCATTGAACATGAGACCTTACACATGCTACATGATCACTGTACTACTGAGCCGTATTCTTATTCCTTCAAAAGTTTTAAGACAAGTAAATGCTAGGGTTCTGGGACCCATTCTTACATTTATAAAATGATAGAGTTGGAAGATTCTTAGAGACTATCTAATTACCTCCATTTTTCAGAAGCAGATTCTGAGCTTGGAGACAGGAATTTATTTGGTGTTTGTGCATGCACCTGCACTTGTGGACATCTCAGTTATTCTCTTGTTCAACACATATTTATTGAACACTTTCTCAGGCTTAGGTACTTTTCCAAGCCCTTCCTCTGATGGAACTTTAGTAGGAAACATTTCAGAATGAATGATGTGGTAAAGGGAAGAACTGGATGGAAAACACTTACTGTGCTTTGTTTGTTTGTTTGTTTGTTTGTTTGTTTGTTTGTTTGGTTGGTTGGTTTTTGAGACAGGGTCTCTCTGTAGCCCCAGTTGGCCTGGAACTTGCTGTGTAGACCAGGCTGGCCTCGATCTCAGAGAGATCTGCCTACCTTTGTCTCTGGATTAAAGGCATTTGCTACCACATCTGGCTTCTTACTGTGTTTTTTTAATACATCTCCCACTGTGATTTTTTGTTGTTGTTGTTGTTTTTAATCTGTCTTTCCTTCTTCATTGGTGTAATTACTGTGTTTTTTTAATACATCTCCCACTGTGATTTTTTGTTGTTGTTGTTTTTAATCTGTCTTTCCTTCTTCATTGGTGTACTCTGTACATCAACATTCAGCTTTCATTGTTCTGTTACATAGTCACAATGCATGCAGCATAAACTTTCATTTTCAATTTAAAAAATATCTCGCTGGGTATGGTGGCACATGCCCTTAATCCTAGCACTTGGGAGGCAAAGGTAGGCAGATCTCTGTGAGGCCAGCCTGATCTACACATAGTGAGTTCCAGGCCAGCTGGGGCTCTAGGGAGACCCTGTCTCAAAAAAGACCAATATATATGTATCTCCATCCATAGCATGTCTCAACATTTTTCAGTAGTAAGGACTCTGCTGCAGTGTTGACATGTTTTAAAGGAGTAGCTTTCCTGTGATTTCACTGAGGACTACAGCCGAAGAAGATCCTCTTGTATTCTAATCATCCAAAGTCTGGGCTGAGACAAATGTTAATAGTTTGGTGAGGTCTTGAGCATTAGAATTTATTGACTTTATTGCTGAAGCCACAACACTGTAAGATACACAAATTGTAACAGGTAGTCTGTCTCTACATTGCCACCCAAGAATCTCTCAACCTAATAGCAGCTCCTGCCATTCTCTCTCCATGATCTACTTTGTTGTTTCTTCTTCCAGTATCCTTACCAGACTTTTTTGTCTTTCTTGCTAAAAATAAGCTTCATGTGATAAGGAGGTTTTTGTTTTTGTTTTTGTTTTTTCTTGTATATCTAAGTTTGTTTTGTTCACGGATATATTCCTAGCCTGTAGTAGTAGCTCAGCAAATATTTGTTGAGTAAATAGATGAGAGAAAATGGCTCAGAAGCTGTGGCTATGAGAGTAGAAAAGAAATAATCACAGTTGATCAATTAGTGGCAGAAAGGACCTTAGTTCTCCTAGCAGTTCAGTGGCAGGCAGGTCAAACTGCCCGTAGAAGCTTAAGGAGATGTAATGCAGTCATCCTGGGAGTTTTGAAGTCTATAGGGGTATAAAAAGAGCTGTGGGGTTCTCTACACTCCTGTGTACTCTGTTCATGTCTGTTGAAGTTACTCATCAGTTATACAATTCATGGCTCTTTGTTGTTCACAATACAGCTACCACCATTGCAGGAGCAAGGCCAAATATCACACTTAAACCTGCACTGACTGGAAGCCAGTGCAAATCAAGTGCAGCATTGGTGACATCAACAGGGCAAGGAAAAGGAGTCTGGGGAAATTTAGTGCATTGACCTTTAGATAGAAAATGGGCTTTTGAGATTTCTAAGAGGCTGTTGCACATGCTTACTAAGCCCATCTCCTTAAGAAAAAATTTCCTCCTAGTTCAGTAGCACTTGTGTGTTCAGTAGCACTTATGCAGTGCCTAGTGTTAAGTCATTGGCCAGATCTCTTAGCTGGCTTTTCTACCCTCTGCATCACTCTTTTGACCTTTCGTTAACTTTGTCTTCTTTATCTTTGGAGATCCAAGACAAGTTGAACCAGACCAAGAAGGATGTGATCAAGAATATGCCATTCCTGAAAATAGACAAAGAGTATGTGAAAACTCTGCCTGCCCAGGGTCTGAGTACAGCTGCAGTTCTGGAGAGGCTGAAGGAGTACAGCTCCATGGGTAAGCTGTGGGCCTGGGCATGCTTCTGTCCTTGTTGACTGATTTTGGCATAGCTCAAGAATAACTTGGTGATTATATTCAGGAGGGCCCATTTCTTCAAAGACTAAATTTCATATTAAAAATGAAATAACAGATTTATGTCAAAATTATAATATCTGTATTAAGGCATAAAACAAAAAAATTTTTTAAACGACCATATTTCTACCATCCAAAGATGACCACAAAGCTGAATGTGGTGGTCTCTGTAATTCCAAAGCTTGGGAGGCTATGTAGGAGAGTTTCTGCAAGTCTAGACCTTGTAGTGAGTATCAGACAAGCCAGGGCCTATAGATGCTATCTTTAAAACAATTAAAAAAATAAAATAAAACAAAAAAGATGAACACAGTTGATATTAGTGTAGTTATATATAGGTAGGTAGGTAAGTAGGTAGATGGATGACTAGGTGGATGATTAATCTGTACAAGTATCTATTTGTCTACACTTATATGTGAAGACATACATATGTATATTTGTCTTCTACATGCATGGGCACATATGAGAAGAATAAATACACCAAATAACCTAATGTTCAAGAACATAACCTCTGGGTAAATTCACGTACTGAACTTGCCACTTGAATATTACCTTGGGAAAGATACTTACTTTTTGTATACCCTAGTTTATCCCTACAATCTCTGCTCTCCTAAAAGAATTGTTATCACATTAAATGAAATCATGCATGCAAAGGTATAGCATATAATGTATAGTGGGTAGTCAATAAATGTTAGCTGTTATTGTTCTTAGTAACATAAGCATATGTATGTTTATTATAGGTTAAGACTTAAAAATAGAAGCTTTTTCTTTGAAACAGTCTCTGTAGCTGAGGATGACCTTGAATTTCTGATTGTCCTGCCTCCACCTCCCCAACAAAGTGCTCAGATTATGGGAATGCCCTACCATGCCTAGTGTAAGTGGTGCTGGGGAATCCAACCCAGGGCCTAGTGCTTGCTAGTCAGGTACTTTGCTAACTGAGCTCTGTCCTCCCAAAAATGAGCCTTTTGGTTTAACATTTTAAATTTATAAAGAAAGTAGCAAAGACAGTGTAACAATTTCCTCTGTGCCCCTCACCCAACTTTTTGTGTTTACACCTTATATATACATGGCACATTTGTCAAAACTAGAAAAATAACATCGGTACATTACTATGAACTATGCACAAGATTCTGTTTGTTTTTTATATTCATGTTCTTTTTTCTGTTCTAGGGCCAAATTCAGATTGCATTTTGACAAAAAACTTTTTAAAACTTGCAATTGACATGTGTGAATTTTTTGGTATTGTATAGTACAGAATTAGATCATTCTGTGACAAGTGTGTCCAACCTGTAGCCCATGGACACATACATCTCAAGAGATCTATGAATGAAGCCCAACATGTTTACAGATGGCAGTGTCCTATCATAATGTTAAAAGGTTGGATACCTCTGGTCTAGGACGTGATGATAAGGAACAGGGGTTAGTAGCACCCTGGTACCATGGTTTTGAGGGCTCATTGCTGCCATTTGATTTTCTTCCTTTGATTTTGTTAACCCATGGTCCATACTATACACAGTAAAAGATCAAAAGATGAGACTACATATCTGATCTGTCCTTGTATGCCTAGCAAGCACAGTCTTGGAGACGTCTGTGATATATACAAACATGTCCTTTAAGGGAGAAGTGAAAATTAGACGACTGGAGCCCAACACACGGCTGTGAGAAAAAGGAAGGATTTGTGTCCTAGTTTGTTTCTCCATTGTTGTGACAAAACACTCTGACCAATACCAACTAGTGGAGGAAAGGGTTTATTTGGCTTACATCTCCTGGGTAACAGTTCATCAGGGAGCCCAAGGTAGAAACTCAGGACAGGAACCTGGAGGCAGGAGCTGAAGCATAGGCCATGGAGGATCGCTGCTTACTGACTTGCTCCCCTGGCCCCTGCTCAGCCTGCTTTCTTATGCAACACAGGCCCAACAGCCCAGGGATGGCACCACCCACAGTGGGCTGGGCCCTCCCACATCACTCAACAATCAAGAAGGTGCCCCATGGACATGGCCACAGGCCAGTCCAATGAAGGCAATTCCCCAATTGAGGCCCCCTCAACCCAGGTGTGTCAAGTTGACACTAAAGCTATCCAGAACACTTTGCCTGATCATTTGTTGGTTAGCTGTCTGCTCTTAGAACTGGAGAACTCTGCTTTGGAGGGCCTCTGGTTCCAGTTACTAACTTTTCAGTTAGTATGTTTCTGTGGCAGCTTTCTCATGGATCACTTTCAATAGGGTACAACCCTGTAGTACAAAAGGACCTGAGATACCTACCTGGGGGAGTAAGTGGAACTCTGGTGGGGACCCTTCTCACCCTTGCCCAGGGTCATTTATGGGCCTGCTCTTGAATGTTACAGCACGGGAAGGCAGCTGTTGCAGTGTGTGTTTCCAGGTCTGGCAGAAAGAGTGGGGCCTGAGATAAAGATGCTCCTTCCTCTGTATGCTCTGCTCTGGGGGTCATGTACTGAGATTTTAACACTTCATCTTGCTCATTTCTGTCAGCTCTGCTTCTGGAAGTTCCTACATTTCCTGTGAATAGAGGAGAGGGTAAGGGAGAGAAGGAGGGAGCTACTGAAAAAGGGTCACTTTAACTGTTCAGAAAATAAAAAAAAAAAATGGAGGCAAAGGACAGCTTTTCTGTTGAGAGTATTATTGCTGTTTGTATTACACCTGGATGCAGTTCCTCTCTTTTCCTATCACTGTTAATATTAATGGATAATGGTTCATCTTTGTTGTGCTATGGTCATCTTTATTGAAGTTCTTTCGTTCTTAATATAAGAAAAACATTGGGTTTCCATTTGACTGGGTTTTGGTTTTTGTTTTTTTTTTCCCCTAAGATTTCTGTCTGTCTTGTCTTTATTAAAGCATGTCTTCCCAGAGATTCCTGCTTGCTGACCAAGTGACCTTGACTTTCTCTGCAGATGTTTTCTGGCAAGAAGGAAAAGCCTCAGGGGCTGTGTACAATGGGGAACAGAAGCTCACAGAGCTGCTGGTGCAGGTGAACACTGGGCACTTGTAGGGTGCATGGGTACTGTTAGTTCACGTGACTTTATTTGCCCTCCTTTTTAGTAATTAAGCAAGAATCGTTTAAGGAGAGTTTTGGGTTTTTTTTTTTTTAAGTTTTTTATTTTTATGTGTATGTATGTTTTGCCTGCATGTGAGTATACCCATGCATGCAGTGTCTGTGGGGGCCAGAAGAGGGCAGTCAGATCTCCTGGAACTGGAGTTACAGATGGTTTTTAGTTGCCATGTGGGTGCTGGGAACCAAACCCGGGTCCTCCACTAGAGCAGCCAGTGCTCTTAACCACTGGACCATCTCTCCAGCCCTAGGAAAATTTGTTGAAATAGAAACACAGAGGTTTAGAAGTTTATTTTCACACAAATAGGAGAGTGTGCATAATAATATCAAATATATCTTCAATCTGTAAAAAGGTAAAGTACTGTTTATGTCTCTGGACTTCATTAGATTCCATGAAGAAGAGTGACCATTAGTGAAGGAGTTCTGTCATTTGAATTCTTTAGTTACAGGACAGATTTCATTTGATAGGGGAGTCAGGGCAGGACCACTCAAAATGTCCTCAAAGCACACAAACCAAGATGAGCTGTCATCTCACTCATGTCAGATCATTTTCATACTGGCTTACTTTAGAATGGTCTGTAGCTTCTTCCGTTTCGAATCAAACTTAATTTGAAACCCGCCTCTTATGGAATTTTGGTTGAACTTATGATTACTAAGACTTTTTTATTCTATGAAATTGCATACCACCTTAGTGTTATAGGTCTTGTTTAGCTATAGTTTACTATAATGCTCTGGTAGTAATGCTATGCTTGAATCATTAGTTGCAAATGAAGCTTGATTTCTCATGTGGCAGGGACAATGAGCCCCTTTATGATCCAACTCCCACCTGTTTTTTTAATCATCCCATTACCTACCATGCAAACACATATCCTGCCATTTTTCTTTATGAAATGCATGTGTTCCATCCTGTTTCTTTCTGTATTTCTTTCCTCCTGTTACAGATGATGAATTCGTATTCATCTCTCAGGGTTCCTCTCATCAATACCTCCTGATGTCAGCACTTGGGACTTTAGCTATTCTTCCTCAGGGCCCAGTAGCACATAAATCTACTTTGCACTCAACAACAGTGGCTGCTTTGTGCCAGGCACTCTGCTATTGCTATTGTTTTGCCTGCTGTATATTGTTTAATTATTGCTAGAAAACTGTAAGGTAGGTACTGTGATTAGCCCCCTTTGCATATGAAAGCAACTGAGCATCAGGGGTTATTTGATCTGCATAGCTAAAAGGGGTAGACAAAGCTGTGGCTTCTAAAGTGGTAGTGATCGTTGGTGTTATAGCCTGTGCTTTTAAGTACATTTATACTTTTTTTCTTCACATTATAAAATCATTGATTTACATGTTTGTCTTGCCCACTGTATTTCCATGTAGTGTACCTTTTTTCCAGTTCTTACATTGGACCTATGTGAAATCATTGATTTGCATGTTTGTTCCTTTCACTATATTTTGATATATTGTACTTTTTTTTAGTTCTTACATTGTACCTAATACCTGGAAGTCTTATTTCAGTGCATAATTCTTTGAGCAGCCCTATTTCATACTTCCTTTCTTTGAAGGCTTATGGCGATTTTGCATGGAGCAATCCGCTGCATCCAGATATCTTCCCTGGACTACGGAAGTTAGAGGCAGAAATTGTAAGGATGACTTGTTCTCTCTTCAATGGGGGACCAGATTCCTGTGGATGTGTAAGTATTTGCAAGTGGCATCAAATAATAGTACTTTTTAAAGCTTGTAATAGAAGTTGTAGAATAATTTAGTACTATACAAGTAATATAAATATATTTTAAATATTTTATCATTTTTATTTTTACATGTATGAATGTATTGCCTGTATGTACCATTCTGCTTTGTTTGGTGAGGACCAGGGGAATCCCACTGTTTAAAACAGTTGAATGACTATTGGAGCTAGATGATAGAGAGAAGGTTCTTATTAATTCCTTCTTCAGCTGTGTCTGGTCTACTCTTCTTCTGTTGGGCCTTTAAATGTCATTTACTGAACTTTTTTTCCTCTTTTTAGTTTTTCAAGATAAGAATCTCATGTAGCCCAGGGTGGCTATGTAGCCAAAGATGATCTAGAACTCCTGAACCTTTTGCCTCCATTTCCCAAGTGCTGGGATTAGAGGTGTTTGTGTACCATAGCCTCAGTTCTTTTTGCATTCTTGCGTCTTTTTCTTTAACTCAGTGTTAAATTGAGAAAAACCACCTTCTTCTACAGTAGTGGGTTTATTTCTGGTATGTCTTAAGAGTATGGGTTTACTTCAGTTCTCTATTCTACTCCAACCTTGGGTGTACCTTCAGTCTAGCTCTGATGTGTACACTTGGGGTATCTCCTGAATTGATGCCTTTCAGGGGGAAGAGCTGGTTTGAGCAGGTTTTCTTGCAGCATCTTGAGTTTTGTTTTGTTTTAGGGTTTAGATATTTCTTGATGTTAGTTCTGTGGTGGATATACATTTTTTAAATGTTTTAATCAAGTTTTTTTAGTTAGGAAGGTGTATTATGGTTCTCTAAAGAAACAGAACTGAAAAAAATGAATATATATGCTCACACACACACACACACACACACACACACACACACACACACGAATTTATTAGATTAGCACGGAAGACCTGGAAGTTTCCTGGAGATCTGCTAGTCTTCAGTCTACATTGAAATCTGAAGAAGTTGGTTCTACTAGCAGTGACGGAATGTTACCAGTGTGAGAGAAGGCAAACAGGCAAAAAGCAAAAGCTCCCTTCTGCCATGACCTTTTATATAGGCTACCATTAGAATGTAATGCCCACATTTAGAGTGGGTCTTCAAGCTTCAGATGATCCAGTCAAGAAAGTCTGTCTCATTTCAGTTAATTCCAGATCCAGTCAAGTTGACAATCAAGATTAGCCATCACAAATCCACCTCTTGTCAATTTGATACCCAATTGCATCTCCTTGTGTCATGCTTAAATTTCAAATGAAAATAATGGCAAGGTCATAATTCCATCTAACATGATATAACTGTCCTGCACACAATCACAAATGCATTATATATCTTAGAGTAGGTGGTAAGCTCCTTGAGGAATGCTTAGTCCTTTAGTATCTCATAACCTAAATATGATAATATAGATTTACAACACTTAACCACTTAACATTTATCTTAATTACATATATTTTTAAAATATCTATCTATTATCTATCTATCTATCTATCTATCTATCTATCTATCTATCTATCTATAGCCCCAGCTGTCCTGGAACTCACTATGTAGATCAGGCTGACCTTGCACTTACAGAGATCTGCCTGCCTCTGCCTCCTGAGTGCTGGGATTAAAGGCGTGTGCCACTACACCTGGCCTATTATTTTTATTTTATGTATATGTGTGTATTGCCTGCATGTAGGTAAGTGCACCTGAAGGTCAGTAGAGGCTGTTGGATTTTGGGGCCTGGAGTTACAGACAGTTGTTAGCTGCCATGTGGGTGCTGAGATTCAAACCCGGGTCTTCTGCAAGAACAACTAGTGTTCTTAACTGCTGAGCCATCTCTCCAGCCCCTTAATTACATATTTTTAAAAAATGAAACAAAATACAAATACCTGCTTAGTATATGTGTATATGTGCACAAGTATATACTTAACCAAATAGGACAGAAACACTCCTGTTGATTACAATCCTCATTTCTGCAGCTGTTCATGTGGCTTCAGCTGATATTTATAACTGCCTTCCTCTACTACCCATTCTGTATTTCCTCTACCATCAGTGAACATCTCTTCAGGTTTTGTCTCTTTCCCTGGAGGAGTGACTCACACCTTCATCCCTGAAGGATCTGGACTATTTGTTATCCTATTTGGATTGGGTTGTTGCAGTTTCCCATTGACCTTAATCACAGGACATGGTAGAACCAAAAGACACCCTAAGGAATCTCCTACCTTCCAGACATAATGTTCCTTACCTCCATTGTGGAGAAACAATTTTCCCTTGCTAGTCTGGACCAATCAGCCCTCTTAATACCATTATTCCTTTATTACCCTGTTGACTTAAGGGCATCAGAAGCCCAAAGTGGCCAAGGGGAAGTCTTAGCTTCCAGTTTAATGGAATGTTGTATCTTCTGGCAGAAGCATTCCTCTGCCTGGAACCAAAACTTCTAGGCCATCAGAGCACAAAGTTATGGGTACTGGAAGCAAAAATTTTCCTAGTGGGTCACTAGGGGTGATAGTGAATGGAGCCATTCTCACTTCCACCCCTTGATTCCTAAACCCATGAATCCTGACTAGAGGAGTAACAGTACCATGTATTGGACCCTGATTCAATGCATATACTGCTTTTTGGAGGACTCTGCCCCAGCCCTCCAGGCTGTTGCCACCTAATTGGAGCTGTAACTATGTCTTTAAGAGGCCATTCCACCATTCTGTCAAGCCAGCTGCTTCAGGATGCTGGGGAGCATATTAAGACCAGTGGATTCCATGACCATGAGCCCACTGTCAAACTTCTTTGGCTATGAAGTGAGTTCCCTGGTCAGAAGCAATGCTGTGTGGAATACCATGACCATGAATAAGGCATTCTATAAATCCCTGGATGGTAGCTTTGGCAGAAGCATTACATAAGTGTAGGAAAGGTAAATCCATAACCAGAATAAGTGTCTATTCCTATAAGGACTATTCCTATTCTATCCCTCTATGATGGAAGTGGTCTAATGTCAACCTGTCACCCCGGTCATACCAGGGAATAGTGCCATATTGGGGGTTTAACATTGGTCTCTGCTGTTGTGCACCCAGCAGCAGCTGTAGCCAGGTCAGCCTTAGTAAGTGGGAATTTATGCTGTCAAGTCCAAGCATAACCTCCATCTTTGTCACCATGGCCACTTTGTACATGGGCCCATTGGGCAATGTCAGGGATAGCTGGAGAAAGAGGCTGACTGTCCACAGAACAGGCCATCCAGTCTACTTGGTTATTGAACTTATCCTCTGCTGAAATCACCTATTGATGAGCATTTACATGAGATATAAATATCTTCACATCCTTTGCCCATTTGGAGAGATCTTCTTCTCCAAATGTCTTTTACACCAGTTTTCCAGCCATGGTCCTTACAAGTCTGACCACACAGCCAAATCATTGCCTACAGCCCATGAATCAGTATGTAATCACACTTACAGTCATTTCTCCTTCCAAGAAAAATGCATGACCATATGCACTGCCCAAAGTTCTGCCTACTGTGAAGACTTTCCTTCTCCAGTGTCCTTCAGGGTTGTTCCAGAAATTGCCTGTAATGCTGCAGCTGTCCACTTCTGGGTGGTGCCTGTATAGTGTGCAGAACCATTCATAAACCAAGCTCTAGTCTTCTGTTCCTTGGTCAACTGATCATCGGGCACACCCCATGAAGCCATAGGTGCATGCTTGAGCACAAGAAGGCATCGGAACAGAATAGGAACTACAGGCATTTGGGCAACTTGCTTATGCCCTCAGGGCCTGCTTAGGCCCAATCATGTATATACCACTTCCATTTGATAATGGATTGTTGCTGTGCACATCCTACTTTATAGCTTGATGGGTCAGATAACACTCAGTTCATGATGGACAGCTCAGGTTTCCTGGTAACTTGATAGCCTATTGTCAAATGTTCCAGTTCCACTAAGGCCCAATAGAAGGCTAAGAGCTGTCTTTCAAAGGGAGAATAATTGTCTGCAGATGAAGGTAGAGCCTTACTCCAAAATCCCAATGGCCTCCACTGTGGTTCCCCTGTGAGGGCCTGCCAGAGGCTCCAAACAGCATCTCTCTGTCTCTGCCACTGACAAGCACATCTACTCCTGTATATTCCGGTCTGCTGGGTCATATGGCCCAAGTGGCAGAGCAGCTTGCACAGCAGCCTGAACCTGTTGAAAAGCCTTTTCCTGTTCCAGGCCACACTCAAAGCTAGCTGCCTTCCAAGTCACTTGATGCATGGGTTGTAGTAACACACCCAGGTAGGGAATGTGCTGCCTCAGAATCCAAAGAGGTCCACTAAGCGTTGTGCTTCTTTCTTGGTGAAGGGAGGATCCAGGTGCAACAACTTATCCTTCACCTTAGAAGGAATATCTCTACATGCACCACACCACTGAACTAGAAATTTCACTGAGGTAGAAGTCCCTTGAATTTTGATTGGGTTGTTTCCCATCCTCATGTGCATATGCTTTACCAACAAGTCCAGAGTGGTTGTTACTGCTTGCTCACTGGATCCAGTCAGTATAATGTCTTCGATATAGTGGACCAATGTAATATTTTGTGGAAAAGATAGGTGATCAAGATCCCTTTGAACTAAGTTATAGCACAAGGCTGGAGAATTAATATACCCTTGTGGTCAAACAGTAAAGGTATAGGTTACTTAGGATATTATTGTGTGTTGCTGGAAATAGCTTCATTTTTTTTCTCTCACATGACAGGCCTGTGTATATTTGAAAGTCCCTTTTTCTCTGGATTTTCTCACCCCAGAATCTTTTTTAGGTTCCTCAGCATTTGTATGATTTCTTGGATTTTCAGCTATCCCAGTCATCCTGAGTGACCGTCCCTCGCCACATGCACACAACTCTCTAAGTAGGAAATGACATTGATTTTTCTGTCTTTGTCTTCTTTTTTAAAAAAACATTTATTTTTATTTTTATGTGTATGTGTATTGCCTGCATATAGATAAGTATACCTGTGTCGTGCAATGCCTGTGGAGGTCAGAAGAGGGCTTTGGATCCCCTAGAGCTGTAGTTATGCGTGGTTGTTAGCCATCATGTGGGTTCTGGGAACTGAACTTGTGTCTTCTACAAGAATAACCAGTGCTCTTAACTGCTGAGCCATCTCGCCATCCTCCTGTCTTTGTCTTCTTTTAAACCTGGGTTTACTAAATATATTTCAGACCTTTTTCTTGAGAGTCAGAATTTTTTCTAAGTAGTGTTGACTCTGTTTCCTCCTGTTCTTGACACATCTACTCCTGTATATTCGTGTCATTTGCTCCTTTATTGTTGTAGGTCTGCTGTCTCATTTTGTTTCATTATCTGACTTTGAACTTCTGTTATAGTGAATTAGGATCTTATGGGTCCTGCATTAGAATGAGAAACTCTTATGAAGAAACATCTTTAGCTGTGTCCTTCCAAATTGGGCTCTTATTTTTCATTCCCTTCTCCCCCATGTGTACATAGTTGCCATTTGCTTCATCTTGGTTTCTGTAGTAGTCTCTCCTGATGGTCTGTTTGTGCTGACTCAAGTGGGGTGACTTGTCTGAAGGGCTGGCCAAGCTTTGTTCTGCCTCTATTAGAATTTAAGGATTTCTTCTGAGATTCTATTAAAAATTCTCTTTGCACAATTGGATGAGGATAATATACTTTGAGCTTTGGTTATTGCTTTAATCCACCCCTGATGTCTTCATCTTAAAAGAGTCAGACTCACTCTCCCTATGTCGTTCCTTTCTTCTTAGCAGCCATAAACACTAGTCATGGGTTAGAAGAGGAAGAATATAAGGAAACTCCCCTTTGCTTGCTTTTCTGAAGACAGGCAGGAGGTGGGGGTGGGTGTCAGTGTGTTTGTGTGCTCATGAGACTTCTCAGAATTTTCCTGGCTTCCGTATGATTTCTAGGGTTGACTAGGAACTATTTTTGTTGTACCTCTGCTTTTGTTGTATAGTACTGTATAATTGCCAGTGTTTGAAGTTTGTTATTATCTTTCTTTATTTGATGAATATTATTGCAATGCCATGTCCTATGGCCCTGCCCCCCCTCCCTTGTTCTTTCAGTATTGAGTAGTCAGTCTTCATCTTAATACCAGTCATCCCTAGTGGCTTTTGTATTTCTGCACTTAAGCCACGTCTTTCCTGTTAGGACCTTCTTTAGTGGCAGGAACCAAGAATGATGTCTGACTTCGGCCTCTTCTAGTGTTTACACTTCTATAGAGAATGTACCTCATCTCCCCCCTCTCCTCTTAGTCTCTGTCTCTTTCTGTCTCTCTCTACATCTCTCTGTGTCTTTTGGTGGAGAAAGAGTTCACTGTTGAGAGGTGGAAAGCAAGACCAGTAGGCTGGGAAATCTTTAGACTGAGCCTAGGTGAGGATCTTACACATTCTCAGTCTTTTTTGTCCATCTCAAACTATCTTTCCCTATATTAACTTCATTTGCCTCATTCATAGTGGATGGGAAGAAAAATTCATATACTAAGAAATTAGATTGTAGGTAGATTGTAGGTAGTTTAGATTGTAGATTTTGTGGCTTCCTCCCCGGATGCCAGAAGAGGGTATCGATTCCCCTGGAACTGGAGTTATGGATAATTCTTAGCTGCTATGTGAGTGCTAGGAAGCAACCCTGGATCCTCTGCAAGAACAGCCATTGCTCTTAACTACTGAGCTATCTCTGTAGTTCCAGAGCAAGAGTTTTTATACATGTTGAGAGAAGTTGAATAGACATAACAAGTAGCTAACTGAGGCCTCCTTTTTTCTTATTACACAATTAAATTTCTGTTCTGAAGACAAGACACATGATGTGACTAGTAATTTGGAAATATTTTTGCTTAGGTCATTATTAGGCCTTAGTAAGAGTGTGAGGCCTGGTCCTTCCCCAACTTTCTTTACAGCTGACTTGGCATCTCATGTGGTGCTCTGAGGTTTTAGGCTAGACCACAGGGCACACTCCTGGTTTGTAGAGCTAATCTTGAGTATAAGTATTTACTCTTTAGCACAGAGATAGAAAGATCTACAAACAAGAGTCCCATGTCCACATGGAGTTAGCTATTTTAGAGATGGTGGTCACATGTTTCATGAAAGGCGTCCTGTGTTTCCTGAGTAATGTTCTTTGTAACTCCTGATCACTAGGATTCTGTACCCAATAGTATTTTTGTCCTGTATGTGGATATTTGGAAAGTTTAGTATAAATCTCTCTTCATCTCATTAAGGTGCACTAGCAAAAAGAAAGTGTTACCTTTTACCAATAAATGCTATTATATGACAGTGAATGAATTACCTAGGGACTCTTTTATTTTTGAAAAGAAGAACCTAAGATTGTCTGACTCTTGAGAGATGCTAAATCTAAGATGATAGCCTACTAGCTTAATGCTGTGGCCTTTTTGGGGGGCATTGCTCATTCTCAGTTATTACCAAAAGATAGTGAGGTGGATATGACATGTGTTTATTGAGTGTCAAGTCTGATTTCAGGAAGTGTTGATTGCTGGGCACAATGGGACACCCTGTAAAAGAGGAGGGTTGACTGAGGGTCTGTTAGATATTTTATACCCAGTTAGCTGTTAGGGCTATGGTCACCAACAGATTGACTTCTTCCTACAAGTTCACGGTCTAGTGAGTAAAACAGTATAAATGGAACATCTATATCTTTTTCATTGAAGTGTGATGTTTGTCTATCAGAGGGGCTAGGCCTAGTTTTATTCATTTAAAAATGCTGGAGTTTTTCTTTTTCTTTCAGATAGTACAATAATAAAATTCTAAGTAGAGGGGCTAGAGAGATATGATTCAGCAGTTAAAAACACTGGCTGCTCTTGCAGAGGACCTGGGTTCAATTCCCAGCACCCACATGGTGGCTAACGACTGTCCATAACTCCAGTTTCAGGGGATCCCCTGCCTTCTTCTGACCTCCTCAGGCATTGCATGACCTGGGTGCACTTACACACATGTAGGCAATATACTCATACACATAAAATAAAGCTAATAAGTATTTTTAAAAAATTCTAAATAGAGCTGGGCGTGGTGGTGCATGCCTTTAGGGAGGCAGAGGCAGGCTGATCTCTGTGAGTTCAAGGCCAGCCTGGTCTACATAGTGAGTTCCAGGCCAGCTGGGGCTACAGCGAGGCTCTGTTACAAAAAGACTCCCCCCACAAAAAAAAATCTAAGTAGAAACTTCAGCTTTTTTTTCTTTTGAACTTGTCAAAACCACAAGTTTACTTTGGAGAGTGGGCATTTCTAATCTTCGAATGTATTGCATAGTTCATCCAAATTAAAACTTTACAATGGGCTGGGTGTGGTGGCAGAGATAGGCAGATCTCTGTGAGTTCCAGGCTAGCTGGAGCTACATAATGAAGCCCTTGCTCCAAAAAAAAAAACAAGGAAAACAAAAATTAAAACCTTCACAATTTCTGGAGACTGAAGAGATGGCTCAGTAGTTAAGAGCACTGTGCTGCTTTTGCAGAGGACCCGAGTTCAATTCCCAGCCATATGGTGGCTAACAACTGTCTATAACTCCAGTTCCAGAGGCCTGATGCCTTCTTCTGCCCTCCACAGGCATTGACACACGAGTGCACTTACATACATGTAAGCAAAATGCCCATACACTTAAAAAATATGTTAAAAAATTTAAAAACTTTACAGTTTCACATTTGTCAACATTTATTGAAAATTTTTTTTACTCTTTTTTGAGATGAGATCTCACTGTGTTGTCCAGGTAAACTTAAACTTAAGTGATCCTCCAGCCTCAGCTCCTTAAGTAGCTGGAACTAGGCATGCACTAGCATGTCTTGTTTAGGCATTGCAGTTTTAAGTTAATAATGCTAGCTAAGTATGGTGATGTATGTCTGTAATCTCAGGACTTAGGTTGGGGCATGAGGATCAGGTATTCCAGATCATTCTCAGCCACAATAATAAGGTTAAGGCCAGCAAGGCTAAATGAAAATCTGTATAAAGAAACCAAAAATAAATAAATAAATTTGTTAATTTGGGTTGGGAGCATACCTAGCATGTACAAGGTTCTGGGCACTGGAAAAAAACAAACAAACAGAAATTATGCTACTTTTGAGTTACCTAAAAGGTTCTCTCCTATCTAAAAATGGATGAATTGCTGGGTGTGGCGTCGCACGCCTTTAATCCTAGTACTTGGAAGGCAGAGGCAAGCGGATCTTTGTGAGTTCAAGGCCAACCTGGTCTACATAGTGAGTTCCAGGATAGCTGGGACTACAGAGAGACCCTGTCTCAAAAAGACAACAACAACAACAAAAAAATGGATGAATTAATATAGAGATGTAAGAGGATTGTGAGGAGGTTGAATCTGGGCAAAAGTGTTTGTGTCTGGGCAGTGCTGAGCATCTGTTTTGTTTATTTTGACTCATTGTTTGCAGTCTTTCTCTGAAATGTATTGTCCTTCTGAAAGGCAGAGCAGTATCTGCTCTGCAGTGTGCGTCCAGGTCCTTGTCTATTTCTACATCAAACATTGTTAAGGTCAAAGCAGGCTGTATCTCCAGGTACTTACCTTTAATTTCTCCTCTACACCTTGCTTCTCTTCTTCATTGTAGGTGACTTCTGGGGGGACAGAAAGCATCCTGATGGCCTGTAAAGCTTATCGGGATATGGCTTTAGAGAAGGGGATCAAAACTCCAGAAATGTACGTATGAGTGTCTGTTTTCCTCTGCAATTATCTGTGGGCTAGTGCAGTGTGAACTGAGACCAGCCTGTTTCTCTTCCTCCTGTCACGAACCTGCTGCGGCCCCAGCTCTCTTCCTTATCCTTTACATCTAGTAGACTTCTAAATGGAGAAGTTGGTTATTAGTACAGACCATTCCCTATCCCAGAAGTTTATACCTGGTACACACTACAAGCAAGAAGGACATCCCTATTCTAGAGGTGATAGTGAGAGGCCCATGTCTTTGAATCATGTAATGTTAATGTATCTGGGGCCCAGCTATCTTATTATACTTGAATGGAATTTCTGAAGTATCATAGACCACTTCAGCTCCTCCCCTGAACATTTCCATCTGAAAGCTGTTTCTAAAAGGAAAAATTTTAAAATAATCTGAGTTTTACTTACATTGCTATCTGTGGACATAATTTTGGTCTTTGGATAACTTTCCTCTAGACTGTCTCCTGTATGACTTATACTACACCGTTTGGGTTAATATTGTTTCTGCAAGTGTGAATGATGAAGGAGATTCTGTTATACTTGTTCTCAAGCTGTGATTCTTTCTTAGCCTAGAAGAACAGACCAGGCTGCCATTTTCTTCATATGTTAACCTTTGATGCCTGGTACTTACGTTGTAGAAATTTTTTTTCTCCCTTAAAGGGAACTCTACTGGTAAGAGTCACTAGGGAAGTCTGCAGGCAAATATATACTTGTGATTCTGTTTCCTCTTTGAACATTATTTGAAATACTATTTCTAACCATGTAGGAGAAACAGATTTTAGTTTCTTACAGATTGTGATCTTTCAGGGCTGGCAGGCCCAATTGTCCTGTTGCTTTTGTGTCCCAGCTGGGCAGTCTTACTATCTGCTGATGTGTGTATGCTAGCGTCTTGCTTCTCCTTGAGGTCTTTTGGATGGCTAGCCCTTGGGAAACCCTGCCTTACATAGTCTCATCTGAACCCTCCGTCCAGTGACTTTTTCCTGTTAGGACCAATTTATGCTTTGTGTCACTATATGGAATAGTTTTCCTCCTTGTTGCCAAAATGACTTTTTTGTTTACACCAAGAAAACTATATAAGCATGATACTCTGAGGAAAAATAATCGTAACTTTACCTGGTGATTTCAATTGCTGCTGTGTTCTCTTAGATCCCATTGTACTTTTGAGTTTCATTGTCTTCTCTTACACCATCCTCTAGTGTGGCTCCCGAGAGTGCCCATGCCGCATTTGACAAAGCAGCCCATTATTTTGGAATGAAGATTGTGCGTGTTGCACAGAACAAGAACATGGAAGTGAATGTTCGGGTAAGTCCTCTGGAGGTATGAGGGTGAGTTTGCCATGTTGACTGCCTCCAGTGTTACACAGATGGGCTCTTCTGCTCAGACTGCATCTAGTGGAAGCATCTAGTGGAGCATCTAGTGGAAGCCAGAAGTGTGAGAGACAGCACTTCCCAGATTCCTGAATACCAAGAGGTGGATGATCTGGCCCCTAACTTGAAGAGCCATGTTTTACTTTTAACACCTTTACTTTATTCTCTTTATTTGTAAATTAAGTGTGACTGAAATTTCCCCAAGACTCCCTTTGATCAGCCTGAAGTGATACATGTTTTTATGCTCCATATATATGTAGAGGGATTTTCTCATTTATTGAAGCTACTTACTACGTCATTTGAGTTCACAGACTGTTAGGTTAAGTCAGTTCTTACTGTATCACTGGCAGATTGTAGGTCTGAGACTCATGGTTGGCTTTTTTGCCTCCTAGCTTATTGTTGTTTCTGTCATCACAGAGGTTGCTATATTGCTCTCAGGCAGATTATTTTCATGAATTTGTGTGTTCCCTTCTGTGTCCTGCCCCATAGCAGAAGAGAGTCTTCTCCTAGGGTGCACAGGCCTAGTGGCACTAGTGTACCTGAATTCTAGGCCAGTGGTCCACATTGCTCTCATAGCAAAAGATAGGAGGTATTGTGATAGAGATTCTCATTTTCCTTAAACTTTAAATCCCTAGGCGATGAAAAGAGCTATTTCCAGGAACACAGCCATGCTGGTCTGTTCTGCCCCACAGTTTCCTCATGGTGTGATAGATCCTATCCCTGAAGTGGCCAAGGTGAGAGGTTTGGGCTACTGTGACACACAGATTAATATTGCTATTTAAAAATAGATGTAATGGGGGCTAGAGAGATGGCTCAGAGTTTAAGAGCACTGGCTGCTCTTGAAGGGGACCTGGGTTCACCTTCCAGCACCCACATGGTGGCTAACAACCATCTATAGCTCCAGTTTTAGGGGATCTGATGCTGTCTTCTGACCTCCATGGATATTGTATACATATATTTACATACATTCAGACAAAACACTCATACACATTAAAAAAAAAAAAATGGATGTAACAGTATAGGACTTTGAGAATAGAACACAGGATCTTCTTTGGGAAAGGGATAGTGCATAACCCAGGCCTGCCTATACACTAGGTATTTTGAGGGAGTACTGACTTTTAGATTCACATCAGGAAGTAATATGCTTTTAGGAACATGCCCATCATACAGTGACTAAAGCAGGGTCTTTCCCTCCAGATAGTTGTTTATTTTGGCTATTATCCACAAAATAAATCAGCTCTGCTGTTAGGTAGTAGGAGCTTAAGCTCATTTAAATACAAAGCAGATACCACATTTCAGATGGGTTCTTTTGAAGGCTAAATATACTTGAAAGATAGGCCTTCATTAGAAATGCCAACAAGAGCCATTTGAGGGCTAGGGTTGTAGCTCAGTTGGTAGCATGTACCTCAAACATGCATGAAGCCCTGGGTTCAATCCTCAGCACCCCATAAAACTAGGCATATAGCATATGCTTGTCATCCCTTGGAAGGTGGAGGCAAGAGGATCAGAAATTCAAGGTCATCTTTGGGCTACATAGCATGTTTAAGTCCAGCCTGGGATATATGAGACCCTGTCTTCAAAACAAATAAATATATAAATAGCCACTTTTTAATACCTGGGAGATGTAGTACAGAATAACCCAACTTTCCACCCGCATCCTGTGAATGTTTTATTTATATTCTCTTATGTTGTTCTTTTTAACTAGCTGGCTGTCAAATATAAAATCCCTCTTCATGTGGATGCTTGTTTGGGGGGCTTCCTTATTGTCTTCATGGAGAAAGCAGGATATCCACTGGAGAAACCATTTGATTTCCGGGTGAAAGGTGTGACGAGCATTTCAGCTGATACCCATAAGGTGAGCTAAGGAAGTGACCAAATGCTGATAGTTGTTTATTTTAGCTATTATCCACAAAATAAATTGATGAAAGCCTTAGTCTCCCACACATACACACCAAAGTATAAACTTAATCTGACCCTTTGCTGTCACCTAGTCAGCCTTCAGGTAATGGGTTATAGTGTGGTGATAATAAGGTACCTCTTACCTTTGTCTCATACTTCCAAAGAGGATTTCCCTATTAACTTACTGTAAAGAACTAGGACTCTTGTGCCAAAGGCCCCTGAAGCCTTGGGGTTATTGGAGGTGGTGAGGGTTGATGCTAGAGTCCAGGAACCTGAATGAGTACTTATGGCAAGAGTACTTGGAATCCATACCTGAGAGGGAAGCATCACAGAGACCCTAGTGTGTAAGCAGGAGTTACTGTGTATGGCAGGTGCTCTGGACAGGACTTTTAGACCCAGCTGCACTCTCACCTCTTTGCTTCTTTCCTCAGTATGGCTATGCCCCAAAAGGCTCATCAGTGGTGTTGTACTGTGACCAGAAATACAGGCGCTACCAGTTCTTCATAGGCACAGATTGGCAGGGTGGTATCTACGCATCTCCAAGCATGGCAGGCTCACGGCCTGGTGGCATCATTGCGGCCTGTTGGGCCACCTTGATGCACTTTGGTGAGAACGGCTATGTTGAAGCTACCAAACAGATCATCAAAACTGCTCGCTTCCTCAAGTCAGAGTATGTGTGGAAGACATGATTCTGCCTTGTCTCTTGCTCTTTTTCTTAGTTGGTCCAAGGCATCTCTCCTCCAGGTGGCACACCCTTTGTCCACCTATTGTCTCATGAGAAACTGGAGTTTAGGCCAATAGCTCACAAGATAGTGCTGGTGGGAGGAGACACTTTCCTTCTGTGACTTGGGAGTGGGGTAGACCGTGAAAGCCAGTGATTCTGGATGGAGTTTGGGCCTACAGACATTTCTAACATTCTGTCTGGGACTCTGGTCTCTGTAAGAACCACTGATCCCAGCCCGGTCTTGATATTGTAGAAGACAGGAAGACTAAATAAAGCCTTAGGATAGTGGGCTGTGCTATAAGGAAGATAGGACAATTAAAATGAGGACCAGAGGAATGTATGTGGTTCAATTTTGTTTTTGTTTGTTTACTTTCAGACTGGAAAGCATCAAAGGCATCTTCATTTTTGGGGATCCTCAGTTGTCAGTTATTGCTCTGGGCTCCCATGATTTTGATATCTACCGACTCTCTAACATGATGGCTGCTAAGGGGTGGAATTTTAACTGTTTGCAGTTCCCACGAAGGTATGCTTGGGACCTTTGTCTTTCGCTTCACTCCATGTCCTGGAGAGTTGGAGTAATGAGGTCACCTGATGTAGAGCCCAGCACCTTGGTAGCAGCTAGAGTTCCTATACATAAGGAACAAGACTGTTAACTTTAAACTTCCAATAGAACTGGGTATCAGCCTCCTGAGATAAGTGGTTGGTTGTGAGGTTTCCCTCTGTCCTTTCTCTAGCTTCTGTACTTCGTGATCTGTCCTGTACACAGCCATCAACTTGCTCCTATAAGATAACTGAATAATGCTTATTTAACTCAAAACCCCAAAGTCTGATCATGCAGGCCTGCTGCTATGCTGTTCAATATGCTTTTCTAGCCCAGTCTTCCATGATTTAAGTTTCCAGTCTAGCCAGATAAGCCTGTCCTGTAGGTCGTTGTCATTGACAGCCCCATCTGCACTTTTCCTTTTCCTCTTCACAATCCTATATACCTTATTGTCCAAGGTGAGTTAGTTTCTTCAGGACAGCGAAGTCCTTCAAGACACCAGCCATATGTTCTCTCCCCTTTAGGGCTATCTTCTGAGATGAAAACCTCTTATTATTGGTCACATGATGAAAGGAACCATCATTGATAGTTTATAGGGGCAGGGGACAAAACAAGCAGCTATGTTCATTCTCGTGGAATAGTTCTTGGTCATGTTAAGAAGCCTTGCTCCCACCCATGCTTGGAAACCCAGGTATTTGAGAGCCTGGTTCCTAGAATGGGGAGCAGCAATGCTATGAAAAGGCAGCTAGTGCATACCTCTCCTGGGGCTGTTGTATTTAGGGCATTTTTCTTATTCAGGTCCATCCAACTCTTTTTCTCCCACAGTGTGCATTTCTGCATCACATTGGTACATACCCGGAAGCGAGTAGCAATCCAATTCTTAAAGGACATCCGGGAATCAGTCACACAAATCATGAAGAATTCTAAAGCCAAGACCACAGGAATGGTAAGAACACTAAACTACCCTCCCACCCCTTTGGAAATTCAGGGGTGGTGTCAGACCAAGAGTCTAGTCTGTTCTTGCCTTTGCCTTGTCTGCACAGACTCTCTGCTGCTCCTGATCCCCATTCTCCTATTGTTAGGTATGTCAAATGAAATGTGCTACGTGTAGAGTACCTCATAAAACTGAAGCTACTTGAAGCAGGGCGTGGTCTTGACACAGAAAAGACAATGAACATGTTTGCTCTCGATTTTTTTTTTTAAATAGAAAATCCCATAGACTAGTTCCTTTACTTTGAAAGGCAGACTGGAAAGTACCTGTGAAAAACGTCTTATGGCAGCTGCTTTTCTAATGGACACATGCCTGGGTGGGGTGCGCCTGCACAGTGCCTATACCCATGATCACTAATAATGCATCTTGGTTGGATTTTCAGGGTGCCATCTATGGCATGGCCCAGACAACCATTGACAGGAGTATGGTTGCAGAAATATCCTCGGTCTTCTTGGATAGCCTGTATAGTACGGATACTGTGACTCAGGGCAGCCAGATGAATGGTTCTCCAAAGCCCCGCTGAGCGTGGACCCTTGCTAGTTCCATGGACTTCCAGCCTTCAGATCTCGGTATTTGGAACTGGCCGTGCACGATTGACATCTGGACCTGCTCCACAGAGCACAATATGATAGACCATAAGATAGCTTCAGCCTCAGGACTCCTGTTCCTCCTTTTGTGGCTTTTAATTTGAAGTCCCCTGAAGGATAATGAATTGCCCTGGTTATGAATGTCACCCTAAGAATTGTTTTAACCATGTTCTTCTCTAACTTCTTTAGCACTCATCTTCACTTAATCATTGTGTGGCAAGCTCTGATTGATCCTGATTTCTGAGGGGGAAGTGTGAGATAGCAAGAGGGGTTCTCTGCTACCTTAGGTGGATGCTGCCAGACGGGAGGCATTTATGAATTGTGTTCCCCAGATGGGTATTATGTGTATCCCAAGCAAGAGGCCATTTCAGCCTGTACTTCAGGGGGTGTTGTTTATCTCTCAGAATCACTTTCATTGCAGCTTGTTTTATTTTTCAGGACACAGGTTGACCAGATCATTGTCCCCTTTTTTGCATAACTGGAGCATATCCTCTTGGCAGGGTTTGGAGTGCTCCCTGTCTTGGGTGCTTAACTGTGGTTGCCACTGTCTTTGGAGATGCCCGTTTGCAGTGGCTCCCACTGATTTCTTCCTGTTTCTGAAGAGCAGGAAGAGAATGTGTTCCAGAGAATTTAGGACTTTGTGGCAGTGGTGCTGCCTCTCTGAAGTGGCAGTCATCAGCTCAGACCTAAGCCCTCTCCTGGAGCAGATGAGTAGAAACCAAACCCTTTTTCCATACCTTCTTGAATAGCAGCATAGATGAAAACCCATATGCACATATGGGTGGTGGTCCTCCCCTTCCCATTGCCTTAAGCCATCATGTAATGAGAATATATTTGCCTGATGGAAATGCTCCACAAGTGTCCTTGACTTGCCCTCAGTGGATGTGAAGAGGTGCAGGACACTTTCCCATCAATGTGTTCTTCCTGCCTCTTCCCCTTTTTTCAGCTTCCAAAGGTACGATGACATTTTAGCTTTAGGTACTGGATGTTCCTCAGCCCTGGCTTTAAGGGAACAGCATAGGATAAGAGAGGTATTTTAGAGTAAGAAGTCCTGGCCACAGCCATTACACCTGGGGCCTGGGATTCCTTTGGAAAATTAGTTGCTCAGGGTAGTGCAGGGACAAGACCAAACCCTCTGTCCACTTCCTGTTTGCTTCTCCCTTTTGGGAGTTCCAGATCTAGGCTGAGCTATGGTCCTACTCTGATGATATACCATGTGCCTTTCTCTGCAACAGTGTATAGTGTGCATATTCCTGACCGAGGCCCCAGTGGAAGTGGACCAGTCTTTGAGGTGTCTCTGTTTATAGGAAAGAACTTGGGACAACAGGCTGTGTTCCCTTCCCTTCTCAGGGACTCCTGAGTATACAGCCCCTTGCGCTACTATTCTCCAGCCGTGCTCATTGGGAATGCTGGCTGGGAGAGCCAAACTACTGGGCTTTCCTCACTATCCCCGGAAAGTGTTCTTTAACACTCTCTTGACCCTGTAACTGACTAGCTGGCCCATGTCATTGCAGGGCAGATATGGGGAATGTGTGTTCACTTCCTGTTTGCTCTGTAGTATGTTGTGGGGCTCAGGGGTACTTGGTGGTGGTGTATGTCACAGAGAGGTAGAGTTCTTGAGCTCATGCACTTCAGAGGCTGACCTGACCAGCACCTCTTTAAGAGTAGTTGTTCAGTGTCGTCTCTGGTTCTCCAGTGCATCACATTGAGGAGGCCCAGGGACCCAGAGCCACTTAACAGACACCACTGTGACAGCAGTGGCTAAAATGGAGAAGCTGATCCTCTATAGTCTCCTCAGGACCAGACTCCTGAGCCACTCCCTTCCTTTGTGCTGTGACAGCACTGGTGCCAGGGGTGATGGTGTTTTTCAAAGGGACCTACTGTAGCCACTTTAATTTATAACTAGGAACCTTAGTGTGACTTAACATTTTATAGGCTTTCATTTTGTGTGTGTTTGCCTGTGTGCATGTTGTACCTAGCCTGTGGCAGGAGTGGGTAGGTTGTCCTCATGGTATCATGTGACTAGCAGGTACCACATTGGCTTCTGCGAACACTGCACTGTCTTATCTCTGCATTAGAAGTAGGGTAGTCCTGTGAATATACTGCCATATCACTTTTAATATTACCAGTTTTATACTTGGAAAATGGTACTTGCCTCTCTTTAATCTGTTTTGTCTTCTAACTTCTCTGCTGTCTCCATGTCCCCATCCTAACTGCAATAAGTTTTCAAAAGCAATTGGATAATTAAATGTCCCAAACTGTAATCACTGGATGGTTGCATTCATTTGTTTACTTGGTACACAGAGATCACAAATACAGTCAGAGCAGTGTCTGAATGTGTGACTGGTGAGCAATTGCCTCCATTGGTGAAGTTGTGTGTGACCCTGACACAACACCAGCAGTAGTATCCCTCATTCCCAGGCACTTAAGCAGGTATCTCTCTGCACTAGGAGCTATGACCAGTTCTTTTCAGGGGTGGGGTCTTGAGTCCTGGTCCTTAGTTTGTAGAGCCTGGGCCCTGACCACCTCCTCATCCTCTTCTGCCTGAACATACTGAAGGATTGAGTTACCTAGGTGATTGCTCTCCAAGTGGATGTGTGACTCTGTCTGACTAAAGGACAAAAATTTAGCATTTGGTTTGGAGACTGATAATGCTAATGCGTAAGTGCTGGATGTCACATTCCATTCTGAATAAGAAAAGAGAAGGCTTTCCATCCTTCAGGTAGCTGAGCTTTTAACCATGTGTTCAGCTCATTCCAACTTTGCTAGAATGAAGGCAGTGAATACCATCTTTGCTGAGTTTCCTGCCAGATGGCCCAGCTTCTTGATTACCAGTAAGATGGTCATCCATATACCCTAAGGTTGTCACCAGTACACCCTAAGAAAGAGGCAGGGTATGTTTGCCTAGGTGGGCCTGGCTGAACTCACAGAGTGGCTGGGATGCTCATGGCTGCATAACTGTTTGCCTTCAGTATGGTCCTTGATGGCACTGAGCTGCCTCAGTTGGACCCCATGGTGACAGAAGCAATGACAAGCCTAATAGGAGAGTCACCAACTATAGCCTGGACAAAAGTCAGGCCTCAGCAGCCTTTTTTCTTTTTTCCCTTGTACTGGGATTAAACCCAGGACCTTGTGCATGCTGGGCAAGTGCCCTACCACTGAGCTGTGCCCCCAGCCCTTTGTGTAATTTTTATTTTGCAATAGGTTCTCAGTTGCCCAGACTGGCCTTGAATAACTGCTCCAGTAACAAATAGCCCATCAATCTCTCTGTTGTACCTTGTGTCCTCTCTGTAGAGTAACAACAGGCAGGTAATGTGATTCTCCTGCCCCAGTCACCCAAGTAGGTAAGGTTCCAGGTCTGTACCCAGCCCAGCTTGACAGCCTTTTCTTGTTATCTCTGGCCTTCCTTCCACTTGTGTTTTCATCATCTTCTGCTTAGTGCCCTCTCCTAGAACTTCAGTTACTTAGATTCATCTGATAATAAAGTTCTTTCTAAAAGGTGTTACCTGTCTTTTTTTTTAAGGCAATGTGCCTCATACAATTGTGGTGCCACCTAGCTTTGGCATTTTCAACCCTTGATCCATGATATATGAAACAGGAAGGCCATACAGCAACATAGCCTGGGCCTCCATGTCTGGTCCTGAGTTGTCAGAGCTAAGCACACTTGGAAACATTGCTAGAAGCGAAACAAATGATGCTACTGTCCAAGTCTGGCTGATCTTGACATTAAGCTGTGTGGACAGATATCCATCACATTACTTCCAAAGACAGCCTGCTCATTTCTCAGTGCCAGTCTCTGCTTCTTCCAGCCCTACGGGGACCAACTTACCAGGCTGATGGGGAAGTGCTCTAGGCCAGGGGTCATGGTGAGGACTACCGGGGAAGGGCTGCTCTGTCTGCCTTGTGGCCTGAGGTGCTGAGTGGCACACACACAGGTAAAGGTGAGAATGGGTTTGGCACCTCTTCTCATCCTGGACATTTTCTGCCCTTGAGAGTTTCTGGCTAGGGGCCTGACCTGTGTAAACAGGTCCTTATGTGCTCTGGTAGCAAATAGCACATCAATCCCTGTGCTGTGCCTGGTGTCCTCTCTGTAGAGTAACAGTAGGCAAGCTCTGAGCCCTTTGCTGAGACTGAGAATTGCAGCTGTCAGAACTGGAGGTCTCAAAACCTTGCTGACATCGTAGGTAATGTACTAGACTTACAGTATATTGGGACTGTCCAAGTATATTGGGTAAGGAACGGGCTCCAGTGATAACAGAAGCCAGGCTGACAACTGGAAGAGCATTTCCAGTCTAGAACCTGAAACCCATAAAGTCAGGGAATGACTCACATCCCAGCTCAAGGCAGTCAAAAGTAGTTCTGTTTGAAGGATTGGTACCCTTTTTGCTCTATACAGGCTTTCAATTGATTGAATGAGGCCCAGCCATATTAGGGAAAGCAGTCTACTTTACTAGGCTCCAATTCAAAAATTAATCTCATCCAGAAACACCCTGATACACCTAGAATCGTATTTGACCAACTAGGTACCTTATGGCCAAGTCAAGTTCATACAAAAACATCGATGACAGCAGCAGAGAAAATGTGGCTGCAGACTGCCTTTTTAGATGTAGGTCCCCATGCTCTGCACATGCTTCTCTGTTTTCCTGATGCCCCTTGGTATCTTGGGACTCCTGCTCTGGTCTTTGAGGTACAACTTGGATCTTCCCTTGTCACCATTAGTCACTTCTGCGTCCTCTTAGTTCATTTTTTATCTTGTCATCTGGGCATCAGCTTAATTTGTCCTGTCTGGTAACAGTTGATAGAGTTTTTCTGTCTGATTCACCCACATGATAGTGAACCTGAAGACAGAGTCTACCCCTCCCTTTCCCCCAGCATCTTGAGCTGGCTTTGCTGCCTGCAGACAGTGCTTCCATTCAAATGCATTTGGGTTGAGGATAAAGCTCTTGTTGGCCTAGCATGTGCAAAGCCCTGGGTTTGATACCCAGAAGCCCCAAAAGAAAACAGAACAAAACCTCCTAAACTAAACAGTTAACTCCAGTTTGGTATGACCTGTGGAAAAGAAGTTTCTAGAGCATGAACCAGGTAATACCATAGTTTTATTGAAGGTATAAAAGCTCATGTGTTTCCATAACACAGGATGGGGCTTGATTTAGGACCTGAGGTCTGAGATAGGACTTTATTTCATGTACTATCACAGCTGCTTGGGGAATGAACTAGAAAGGGAGCCAGGTAGTCTGGGAAGAAGGTTACTGCTGCTGGGACCCTGCAGAGAAAGGGCGAGTTTGTTCATTTTAGTGTTACAGCTCCAAGGAGAAGAGTGGCACCAAAAGAGGCCTCAGCTCTGCTGCTGGCAGTGATGCTGGCATCTTTCTACACAGGGACTCACTCCTAAACAGAGGGGGCAGCAAGTGTCAGGGACCCAGGGTTTCCAGTTCCATCACTCCTTCCCAAGGCATGCAAATTAGGGCAGGTCTATGTCATGGACACAGCTACTTGTTCGATGAAGCTGGCTAGGTTTATGTCCCGTTCTGATAGGCCTGCACACTCGTGGGTGCTCAAGGTGATGTGGACCTGAATGGGAGAAAACAAGAAATTAAGGGGCTGCCAAGCAAGCACCACTGAAGAGCAAGAGAGCCAACAGGTGTCAGGCTCTGCTCTGCCAGGGATGTCAGGATAGTAGCTGGTCACTAGACTCCCTCCTGGGAACAGTAAGCCACTAGTCATTGCTAGGGACAGCAGCCAGTCATTATCATCTATCTTGGGAATGGTATCTAGTCATTACTATCCCTCCAGTGGACAGTAATGGGTCACTGCCACCTATCCTACTGCTTTCCTGACAGATCTATCCAATGGTGAAAATCTGACTTAGCATCTACATATCAAGAGTGATCAAGAGCTAAGTGAGATGTCTCAGTGGGTAAGGGTGCTTACCCAGTGAGATATCTCAGTGGGTAAAGGTGCTTGCCAACAAGCCTGATGACCCCAGGACCCACATAGTGGAAGGAGAGAACCAACTCCCAGCAGATTATCTTCTGACCTCCACACACACACAGACCACAAAATATCAAAACCCAGGCTCCCTTCTAGCCCAGGCTCCCGTTCTTTGACCTCAGATCTCTGGACTATCTTCTTAATCCAGACTACCTTAATCCTCCACCTTAGTTTGTTAGACCTTCCACTGGCTGGCCCCACCCCACCTTGCCCTTAGCCTGCTTATATGCCTGCCACACTGACCTGCCTACTATCCTGATAAGTATACCATACACCACTCATCAAAGAAGCTTCTTTTTGCAACAGATGGAGGCTATTACAGAGTTCCACAACTAGTCCCACACAGAGACTGAGAGATGCTCAGCCCTAACTGACATATCTACAGTGGAACCTTGGCACCTAAGGCTCACAGAACATAAAGAAACAGGGTAGAGAGAATACTAATAACAGCCATCAACTCTCACCAGCAAAGCTTCCTCATACAACAGAGTATGGTACACACAGAAGGCCACAACTGGTCAAACTTTAGAGAATAAGAAACTGTTGAGTGCATGTCCCTTGATATAAGATTCATTCATCCATGAGACCATTGCAGAAGACGGGGCAGAAAGATTGTATGAGTCAGGGTTGGTGCATGAACATAAGGGAACAGGCTTTCAGACCTCTGGAAACTTGCTCAGATGAACTTACAATAATGGTGTCAGCATGCACAAGACCCATGCCAACTCAATTAGACAAAAACCCAGCATAGAACTGGGGAAATGGGTAGCAGGCCCCAACTCTAGCTGAGGAAGTATTGACAACTGATTACTGCAGGGTAAGGGCGCGTAGATCTTCTTTAAGGGAGCACCTCTAGATAGGCTTACTAGACTCCAGTGGATGAACTTGCACCAAGGGAATTCTGGGTATAAGTGTTTGACCTGATAGGACTTAACATACATGACAGAATGCATGAAATCTGGTGGGGGGACTATGGGGGATGTGTTGGGGGGGTCTAAATTTGATTAAGATCTATTATATGAAATGCTTTATGCATTTTTTATAACTAAAAAAAAAAATCAAAACCCAAGGTGGGCTCCTAAACATACCCAAGGACTTCATGTTTTTATAAACAGTCCACAAAGCTCTTGGTACAAGCAGGCATTATATGACTGCTTCAGTTTGTTAAGCAGACAACCTGATCTGCTTGCTTGCTCTGATGTCTGAGCTTGGTTTTATTGTTTTCTCATTCTTCCATACCTTGAGCATAAAGCTGTTAGTGCTGTTAATAACACTCCCTTCTCCCCTCCTTGCAGCCATCCCTTCCTGGGTTTTGCCTTCCTTATTTTTATCTATTTTTAAAATTTATTTTGTGTGGATGAGTGTATTGCCTGCATATATGTAAGTGTACCATGTCTGTGCAATGCCTGCAGAGGCCAGAAGAGGGCATTAGATTCCCTGAAACTGGAGTTATCGATGGTTGTTAGCTGTCATGTGGGTGCTGGGAGCCAAACCTGGGTCTCTGAAAGAAGAGCAAGTGTTCGTAACTGCTGAGTTCTCTGTCTAGCCTGGGTTTTACCTTCTTAATGTCTAGCCATAAGTATCTCAGAGTGTTTTAATTTGTACTCCTTTGATCTGTGGTGAGACTGGCTGTTTTGTGGGGATGTCTATATTGGTTCCAGGAAGAAGATGGACAGAATGAATGAATATCAACCTGTGGGTGAGAAGGGCCCATAGTTCCAAGGGCCCTCAGGAAGAGCTGGGGTTTTCAGAGATGGACAGGTGCAGGGCACAACAGGGGATAGCCTCACCTTGTTGTACACATTAAACCACTCAGGGTGGTGGTCCAACTTCTCAGCCTGCAGCGCCACTCTTGTCATGAAGCCAAAAGCCTGGGGGAATAAAGGAAGACCTGGGTTAATGTTCTAAGAGGGACTCTTGGGTCCCTTGGTTACAGCCAGTTAAGGCCTAGCTGCAGGAGGATGGTCTAGCTTCCCTCCAGGGAGATCCAGAGATCTAGTAGTCTCCCCTGTCACATCCTCCCCCTGGGTCTGAGGCCTGAGTGAGAGGTTGTCTCTGCCACAGGAAGAAGGACTTTTTCCTCTTGACCTTACTTCTACAGCCTCCCCAGTGCTGGGATTATAAGCAAATTTTACCAAGCCTGGTGATGGACAGCCCTATCAGCAGCACCCCTAACAGTGCAGAAGGCATAGCAGGTTAGAGTCCCGGCCAGTCTTTTGCTATTTATTACAGTGCCTTTAGATGGGCATGTGTTCCCTTCCAGATCTGTCTTCCAAAGACTGTTCCTAAGATTCCAGGAGGGGAGGGTCCGTGGTCCTTCCTCCTCCACTGCAGCCCTTGGAGAGCTCACTTCATAGGAAACTTGGCAAGTGGATTTCACCTTGACTGGCAGGACTTGAACACATGGAGTGTGGTCCTGTCAGCCTCCCTTCACATACCCTGTTGAAGTCTTTGAAGTGGAACTGCTTAAAGATGGCATCTCGGCCTTCTAGCTCATTCCACCCCACAGCCCTCAGGTTGGGCAGCAGCTGGTCCCGCTCCTCAGCACTCAGTCGGTGTGCCTTACCAGCCTAGAAAAAGGAAAATATGTTCCTTTTATAGGTCAAGAGAGCACCCCAGACCTTTGGACATGGTGACCTGCAGTGGGCAGTAGGCCTTTAGGTCTCCAGGGAGGTGCCCTGCCAGATGGAGTCTGGGCTGAATCACTGATAGACTCTCAGATCCTGGTTTTGGGGTGGGGGTGGGGGAGTGAGGGTGGCATGGTGGTGGTGGTAAATGTAATGTGTGTATGCAAGAATGTTTAGGGGGTACATATAAGTGTGTGTATGCAAGAGTGTATGTGTGCAAGAATAGGTGTGTGTAGGTATATGTGTGTGTATATGCAACAATGTGGGTGCATCTCTGAATATATGTGTATGCAAGAATATGTGTTTGGGGAGTATGTATGCAGGAATGTTTGTATATGTGTGTGTGTATATAAGAATGGGGGGGAGATGCATGTATCTGAGTGGGTATGTGTATACAAAAAATGTGTGTTTGTGTGGGTGCATGTGAGTGTGTTGTATAATACATGCAGGAATGGGGGTGCGTGTTTATGTGTGTGTGTATATAGGTCAGAGGACAACCTCAGTGGTCATTCCTCAGGCACTGTCCACCTTGTGTTTATTTGTTTAGTATTTTTGAAACAGGGTCTCTGTGTAGCCCCAGCTGGCCTGGAACTCACTATGTAGACCAGATTGACCTGGATCTCACAGAGATCCACCTGCCTCTGCCTCTTGAGTGCTAGGATTAAAGGTGTGCTCCACCATTCCAGGCCACCTTGTTTTTTGAAACAGGGTCTCTGGAACTCACCAAATAGGCTAAGCTGGCTGGCCAGTGAGCCCCAAGAGATCCATCTATCTCTGCCTCCCCAGTGCTGGGATTAACAATCATACACTACTACACCCAGCTTTTTAAGAGTTCTGGGGATGGAACTCTGGGACTCATGCTATCTCTCCAGCCCCACTCCTGCATTTTATACCTGCCTCAGAGGCAGAAAATTCCAAAGGAAGTGGAGTGCAGAGAAGCACTTCTCAGCCCCCAAATCCTTACAGAGCTCCCACTCTCCAAGTAGGTGCCACCATGTTTAATAGGAAGTGAAAGCAAAATTCAGCCTGGAGGGAAAGTGTTACAATACACCCTTCAGAAAGGTGTCCCCACTGTTCAGCATCTATGTTCCACCCCTACACCCCTTCTGTAACTTTCAGATATATTAAAGAAGAAACGGGCCTACATGGAGGGGCCATAATGGTTCACAGTTCCCTCGCCCATCCTTAATCAGTGATGTTACAGGCAGGTCTTCAAGGTATGGTCTCTGCCTGTGCAGCATTTCGGCTAGGTGAGAAAACCAGCATTTCAAACATTTCCAAGTAATTCTTAGCCACTTTGCAGTTGACAGCCATGGGCACTCATATAGGTGCTCCATCTTGCCCCTATGTCAGTTTCTATCTCTAGCAGCTTGGGAAGCTGAAGCTAAAGAGCCCAGTTCCAAAGTGAAAGTACTTTGTCCATCCCACTGTTCCCAGTACCCCATCCCATTGGTCTATTGTGCAAAGTGCCCACAGGGCAGTAGCTTTAAGTGTACACCAGGCTAGGCCTCAAGTGGACCCTGGAGACTCACAAACTCACAAACTAGGGTCAGTTCTAGGGGGCTCTGGGACCAGGAGCCTAAGGAACTAGGCTTGTAAAAGAACCACCCTGGACAGTGAAAACCTAATGACAGGGCTGGGGGAGTATGAGGGAGGCAAACTGAGCTCTGTAGGCAATAAAACAGCCAAGACATCCTTGTTGGCAAAGCTGATTCAAGCCCCTGTGTTTTGCCATTTACCAGCCAGGTGGTCCCACTTGGCTTCGTGGGTAGAGTGCTGAGAACTTCTGAACTCAGACCAAGAGATGCCAGTGAAATACCCTAGTAAGCTGTGTCTGGGACGAGATGGCTTGTGACAGCACTGGGCTAGCATTGGGGACCACAGAAGCATTGCAGTGCCGTTTTCTGTCTCCTGTGTGCTCTCTGAACTGAGGGGTTCCAGCTTGTCCCTTTCCTGACCTTGGCTAGGGTTGGCTGTAGAGACGACAGCAGAGATCCACATTGTGGTCAATAGGAAGGTCTTTCCAGAGCTGGGTCTTTCCAGTGCTGATAAGCTGGTCCCTTGTAACCAGGCAACCAGACGTCAGCAAGGCATCAGAAAGGGGTAGTAGGTACAGGTTAACTCCTGGTGGTGGGTATGTGTGCCTGGGGGTAGGGTGGCTTGCTCCTCAGCGTTTTCTAGAACCTCCCATTTCAGACCCACAACCCTGTGAACTGAGGTCAGAGGGGGAAGGGCCGTGTTTGCTTAGTAAATCTCTGGCCGCATGCAAGGAGGGGTTACTGATTATCCAAGCCTATGTCTTTGGGGCCCCAGTATCCCTCCCAAACCCACAGCTGCCGAAACGTCCTCCCATCCCTGACTGCTTCCAAGGAGGCGCAGAAGCCAGAACCATGCTTTTGGTTATAGCTGTGGGGACTAGCGGCTCCAGGGTGCAGCTTTCAAAGGCCCTAAGACACTTCCACATTAGGGCAGCTCAGCCTACAAGAGGGATGTTGCTGACCCACCACTACGCCAGCGCAAGGCCCAGAATCCAACTAGGCGCTCGGGTCGGGCTGGAGGTTGGGGACAGCATCTGAGTGCAGAGGGCTGCGCCCCTCCAGCTTCTCCACCCCAAGGGGCAGTAAGCCCGCAGGGCCAGGACTGGCGCCTTCGAGCCCCTCCTCCCTGCCACACCCCACCGGAGCGCGCCAGCAGGCTGGGCCTGGGAGTCAGGAACAGGCCAGGGCTTCAGTCTCCAGGCCCGCCGCCACCTCCCGTCTCTACCCAGTGGTGACCTGGCCCTGCGAAGGCTCTGCAGGGCTCCACGCGACCCACAGCCCCGTTCCTCTGGACCAGAGCCCGCTTCCTTTCCGCTCGCGTCCCCCTTCCCGCTAGGCTCCAGCCAGACCCCTGCACTCACCATGTCCGGCGCCTGCAGCAGGTGGCAGCGGTGAGCACCAGCGCAGCTGGGCTTGCTGGAGGCCACTCTGGGGCGGGGCCGTGATCGGGCCGCCACGGGTTAATGATTACCGCGCAGCCCTCTTCTACCAGTGCCCTTCTAGCGCTTTCCATGCGTGCCCTTGTGCATGGCTGCGTGTGCCTCCAGAGCAAGGGCTCCGGCACCATGCTCTGCCACCTGCCAGCTGGAGGACTTTGGGTGCTAGACTGCTTGACCAATTGTTTTTAAAACAAAAGAAAATACTCAGCTAAAAGTGACACAGAGTGAACTGCACGTATTTAAAGTTTAAGGTTGAGGGCCCTGCGAAGGCTTTGCAGGGCTCCACGCGACCCACAGCCCCGCTCCTGAGAGATGGCTCAGTGGTTAAGAGCACTGACTGCTCTAGAGGACCCGAATGCGATTCCCAGCACCCAAAGTGGCTAAGAACCGTCTTTAATTCCAGTTCCAGGTGAATCCAACGCTCTCTTCTGACTTCCAGGTCATTGCACGGCACAGGTGCACCCACATACATGCAGGCAATACACTCCTACACATAAAATAAAAATAATGAAATATATATATATTTTAAAATGTAAAGTTGAAACTGTCCTGGTGGGAGCAAAAATATTCTATAGAGACCCTGCGATCCCCACATCGACTCAGACTATTGAAACAATGTACCCCAAGAAACTGGAATTTTCTGGTCTGTCTCATGGTGGTAGAAGGGAAAGGCTGAAGCTTAGGGCCAGCTAGAGGAGGAAACTTGTCTCCTGGAAAGAGACTACTCTCAATTCTGACAACTTATCAGACCATCTTTGGGTGGAGGAGAGACTGGAACTGAGACAATAGTGGGTTAGTGATGGGCATGGCCACACTTACACTGGGACTGCTTAGGTATGCATACCTCTTGCAAGAGGTTTAAACCCAAACCTCATGTCAGGGCCATGAAGGTGGACTTGGGGGTCACAGGACCTCTTTACTTGTTTCTCTTCCCAATGTGGCCTTATGGAATAAATTCCCTTTATTTTCCACTATGCTTTTAAAACAGTTTTGAAGCTGTATTTTTTTTTTATTGTATGTGCCTGTGCTGCATGAGTTTATGTGTACCATGTACATGCAGGTGCCTAGAGCTCCAGTTAGAGGTGGTTGTGAACCACCTAATGTGGGTGTTGGGAACCAAACTCAAGTCCCCTGCAAGAGCAGTAAATGCTCTTAATTGCTGAGCCATTTCTCCAGCCTCTCTGTTTTCTGCTATTACTTGTTTCTTTATTTGAGACAAGCATATTGAGAACAGGTGACCAGCCTGGCTTGCTAGGGCTGCCAGGGCCCAGGTTCTGGCCCTGACAATTCCAGTAACACACATATGCTTCTCTTAGGAAACCACTGACACAGTCAAGACTGTCACCATTCGCCCCAAAGTTTCCTTGTGCCACCTGGTACCCTCTCTCCTTTTGATATTCCTCCCCAGTCAAATGTTTTCAGTCACAGTAGAGTAGTTTGCATTTTCTAGTCTGTTCCATGCATTTAACCATCTAATATATACTCAAACTACATTTTTTGAGGACTGTCCACGTTCCATATGTCAACAGTTCCTTGTTTCCACGACTAAGTAAAATTATTTCCTGGGTTTTGAAAGAAGTAGTAGGTATGAGTGAGCCCCTTAGTGGGGAGCAGAGTTCCTTTTTCTCTTTAGAACTTTCTAGAACCTCTGGTCTCAAACTTAGAGCTCTCTTGTCAACATAAAAAGCACAACTCCCATCTTAAAGGGGGTAAGAGATAGTTTATTCTGGAGCCAAATATGAGTGACCATGGCCCAGGAGCACAGATTTAGGTCACTCCAAATTCCATGTTTCAATGTGGAAGCAGTTTCATGAGGTAACAGAACAGAGAAAGTCATTCATCAAGGCACTTTTCAGATACATTGGTAGACAAATTAAGTAGGCGGTTTATAGCAAAGGAAATCTCTGCTATAGGCCTCAAATGCTATTTGATGACATCTTCAACCTTTTGGTTGATGGGAGCTGGTGGTTAAGTTAATACATTTCAAAAGGTTTTATCTGTCAGTCGCAGGATATTAGGTCAGACACTGTGGAGACCAAGAGAAACCCGGAATGGCTATTTAGGGGACTGAAGATAGCCCAAGATAAATTGTATTAGGCCTGGACCTGCAACATTCCAACCTCTCCATGATCATTGATGTTCAAATCAGTTAATCAGAAGTTCAATGAAGGGTGTGGCTTCTTTTCAGGAACTTTTGTTCACACTCTGAACTCACTGTTGGTGGCCGGCTGTGGGGTTGTTGTAATAGTTTGGACTATTACAGAAAAGCTGTTGGGAACATTCCAGACATCAAGAGTCAAGAGCTGGGGCTAGAGAGATGGCTCAGCCGTTAAGAGCACTGAATGCTCTTGCAGAGAGGTTCGATTCCCAGCATCCTACATGGTGGCTACAAACTGTCCTTAACTCCAGTTCCAGGGGAATCTGACGCCCTCTTCTGACCTCCACAGCATTGCACGACACGGGTACACTCACATACATGCAGGCAATACACTCATACACATAAAATAAAAATAATACAATATTTTTTTAAAAAAAAGAGTCAAGAGCTGAGGGTCCCAACATCCAAAGCCTGGGACTGCAACACCAGCTTGCTGGTACAGGGCCTCTGGCTTTGAAGACCCTGAGCCTACTCTTACCTGAGTCCCTTACTTTGAAAACTTGGAGCCCCGAATCTCTTGTCAGATCTAGAGCTATAAGCTTCAGTGGTTTGAAAATGTGGCACTTGGGAGTAGGGCCACCCACACTGAGTAATGTATCCCTTGCCTAGTTGTCATTTCTATCTGAGTAGAGCAGAGGGACCCTAGACCCACTATCTGTGACAGTGGCATCATTTTACACCCCCACTAGCAGCATGTAGGCACCAGTTTGCCATCCTTACCATAGGTGCAGTCAAACTTTCTCACTGTAGTCATTGTAGCTGGTGAGTAATGGTGTTTATTTTTAAAATTTTTTTATTTTTTAATTTTTTGACACAGGGTCATACTGTATAGTCCTGTTTGACCTGGAACTTGCCATATAGATCAGACTGGCCTCTTACTCAAACCTGCCTGCTTCTGTCTCCTGAGAGCTGGGATTTAGAGGCATGTACCATTATATCATGCTCAAGGTATGTCATTTTAAATAAAACACATTTACAGTGTTTGTGTGCATGGTATGTGTGGGTGTGGGTACCATGGTGCACATGTGGAGCTCACAGGACAACTTTGTGGAGTCAGTTCTCTCTTTCCACCTTTAACATGAATTCTGGGAATTTGACTCAAGTTACTTTACCCACTTAGCCATTTTGATAACCCTTGTTATGCTGCTAATCTGTTTCCTGAATGTCTAATAACCTTGGACATCTTTCATGTGTTTATTTGCCATAGATAAATCTTGGATGAATTGCCTTTTGAAGTTTCCTGCCTATTGGAAAAGAACAAAACTAAACCTAAATTGTTTATATTCTTACTGAGTTTGAGAGCTTTTATTCTGGGTACAAGATTATTATCAAATACATGTTTTTCAGACATTCTTTGTATTCTTTTACTGTACCTTTCAAAGAACAAATGTTTCTAATTTTGTTGAAATACAACTTATCAAATGTTACTTTAAAAGGAATGTATATTTATTTTTATTTTATGTGTGTCTTAGTTTGCCTTCAATTGCTGTGATAAAAACACTGACCAAAACCAACTTGGGGAGGAAAGGGTTTATTTTCTCTTGTATCTTCCAGGTCACAGTTCATCACTGAGGGAAGCCAAGGCAGGAACTCAGGGCAGGAACCTGGAGCACAGGCTATGGGGGTGCACTGCTTATTGGCTTGCTTCTCTGGCCTGTACTCAGCTTGCTTCCTTATACAACACAGGACCCCCTGCTTAGGGGTGGCACCACTCACAGTGGGCTGGCTGGGCCTTCCCACATCAATCGACAATAAAGAAAATGCCCCATAGACCTGGCCACAGGCCATCCAATGGAGGAAATTCCTTAGTTGATGTTTCCTCTACCCAAGTGTGTCAAGTTGACAACTGAAGACAACCAGCACAATTGACCCCTTGTCAATTTGATACACAAACACATCACTGTTAAACCACAACCTTTTCATTTCTTATTTCCAAGACTCATGTTAATATTAACATTGCAACATAAAACATTACAACTTTAAAAGTCCCACAGTTTAAAAGAACAAACACTTTAAAGGTTCAAAATCTCTTTTAAAAGTCTCTTAACTGTGGGCTCCTGTAAAATCCTAAAACAAGTTAAACACTGTCTTATTTTAAAAGGGAAGAACTGGGCACACTTAAGCAAAACCAAAGTCCAGCAAAGTAGCTCAAGGCTAGACATCTGGAATTCACTCTACCCAGGTGTGTCGAGTTGACAACTAAGGCTATATAGGACAATGTGAATGAGTGTTTTGCCTGCATGTATATGTGTGTACAATATGAGTGCCTGGTGCCTGCAGAGGCTGGAAGGACATCAGATCCCCTTGAGCTGGAGTTACAAGTAAGCAGCCATTTGGGTACTGGGAACTGAACCTGAGTCCTCTGCAAAAGCAGTCAGTGCTCTTAACTGCTGAATCATTTCTCCAGGCCCTCAAATGTTATTTTTCTGGGTTGCTATTTTGCTGTTTAAGAAATCTTTTCTTGATTCAAAGTCACAAAGACTTTTCTCTTTTTCCTCCTGTTTTCTACTTTTTGGTTTCAAGTTTATATCTATGATTTAATATGAGTAGACGTTATAGATTCAAATTCACCATTTGCATATGGATATTCAATTACTTCTTCATTAATTTTTTAAAAACTTATTTTGTGTCTGTGTGTGCATACATGTGTGTGCGTCACAGTGCATGTACGGGATCAGAGAATGTCTTGTGGGAGTTGGTTCTCTCTCCTATCATGTGGGTCCCAGGGATTGAACTTGGGTTGTCAGCTTGGTGGTAAGGGCCTTTACTTACTGAGCCATCTTGCTGTTCCAATTAAGAAAACCACTTGACCATGTATATGTGGAGCAATTCTGGGCTCTCTAATCGGTCATCCATCTAGATGCCTATACCACTATCTCAATTACTGTAGCTTTGCAAGAAGTCCTAATGTCTGAC